TTACAGTAGACTAATTGAATGTATTCCTGGAAGCCAATGCCTTAAAGAAATACAAAAAAATGTTCTCACGAGTACAGCCCACACCTTACGAAGGGCTTTGTCTATGTAAAATATTTTTTTTTGTCAGTGGAAATTGTCATGATGCCATTTCTAATCTTAGGTCCCTGGGCGGGACTCGGAAAGAAATGTGTATAATAATATAATGTGTACAATAATATATTCAAAATTATAATAAACAAAGAAAAATATAAGAATAAATGAGTAATTAAAATAATCAAGACTTACCTTTTAAAATGCAACAGTGCTTTCTTTGAGCAATGTATCAGGTTGTATGGTGTTATCACCTACTCGGCCTAATTGAATGGGTCAATATCTGCACTTGAAAATCTGCAACTTTTACGAGAAGGAAACTGCAAGAAACTATTATGAACATCAATCGGTTAGAGAAATAGGATCTATAACAATTTTATGGAATTTTACAGTAGGCACATTCAAAATAATCAAAGCCAATCGCCTAAACATCGTGATCAAATATCACAAGAACAGAATGTGTTTTCTTATTGACATTACAATTGCAGATTGTAATGACTCTTTAAAAATCATCGAAAAACTATCAAAATACATAAATCTTGAAATGGAAATCTCAAAAATGTGATACATGAGGATATCAGTAATACCAGTTGTAGTTGGAGCCTTCGGGCTGATTGGAAAAGATTCCGATAGACTCATTGAAAGGATCCCTGGTAGCCCATGCCTTGAAGAAAAAAAAAAAAAATACTCACATGTACAGCTCTCACATTACGAAGGTCTTTATCAATGTAAAATATGTGATATTATGTTTTTAATGGAATTTGTGGGTGGGAAGTAAAAATGTTCAGTGGAAAATGTCATGATTTCTGGCCTTAGGTCTCGAGTTGGGACCCGGAAAGGAATGAATAATTGAAAACAAGAATGTTATCTGTCATAGTAGGTGCTTTTGAAATGATAAAAAAGAAACACAACACATTGAAAATTTCCCTAGAAATCCCAGCTTAAGAGAGATACAAAAAAAATTGTCTTGACAAGTACAGCCCTCATACTAAGAACTTTGTCCATGTAACGCTAGTGATGTTATGGGAATAAGAAAAACAAATCTTGAAATGTAGCCATTACATACTACTACATGCCTTATGTCTTCCCGGAGACTTGGCAGGTAGTATGACCATAGAAGAAAGCGAAATAATAATAATAAGAAGAAGAAGAAGAAGAAGACGGCGACGACGAATAATAATAAGACGACGAAGAAGAAGAATAAAAAAAGAAAACAACGACGACGACGAAGAAGAAGAAGAAGAAGAAGACGATGATGACGACGAAGAAGAAGAAGAAGAAGAATAAGACGGCGACGACGAATAATAATAAGACGACGAAGAAGAAGAATAAAAAAAGAAGACAACGACGACGACGAAGAAGAAGAAGCAGAAGAAGAAGACGATGATGACGACGACGACGACGAAGAAGAAGAAGAAGAAGAAGAAGACGGCGACGACGAATAATAATAAGACGACGAAGAAGAAGAATAAAAAAAGAAGACAACGACGACGACGAAGAAGAAGAAGAAGAAGAAGAAGACGATGATGACGACGACGACGACAAAGAAGAAGAAGAAGAAGAAGACGGCGACGACGAATAATAATAAGACGACGAAGAAGAAGAATAAAAAAGAAGACAACGACGACGACGACGACGACGACGAAGAAGAAGAAGAAGAAGAAGAAGATGATGATGATGATGATGATGAAAGAAGAAGTTTATATAATATGAAACTGATAATTCATAATAAATACTGCAGTTCTTCGCGAACTTACTGTCTCTTGATTTCCAGCGGAAGCTGACCAGATAATACTGGTGTGGAAATCCAATGGGCGTATTAATTCAGAAATTTAATACTAAGATAGCGATAACCGAGGCACTCAAACAGCAGCAACCACAACAACAATCATCATAATAATAATAATAATATCAATGTCGTAATCATACTGAATATGGTTCTCTGCACAGACTTTCGTTATTGCCGCAAACCGACCAGACATGATAAGATAAGCATATGCGATAAACAAACACATGCCTTTCCAACGATGTTACGATCCATGATAATGTAAATATGCTCTACAGGAATGTCACGCCTATCTGCTGATATGCCATATGAAGTTATAAAAATCTAAAAGCGTCTCACTTGGAGGCAATGCTTCAGGATTTAGCCTTCTACACCATTACGGCTGCCATGAGTTCAATCCTCACCAACTCTCTCACATTTCTTACTTTATAGAAGATCAAACTAATTTGGATAAATGCGTTTTAAACGCTTAGTTCCAGTTGTCATTAATTTAATGTTTTTCATTTGTGAATGCGTATCTGATATCGATACAGAAATTGGAATCGGCGTGCCGAGTTCAATCTCTGCACGCAACTGTTTCGTTCACTTTTGTGCACTAACGCCCTTGGTGACGATTGTAGACGAGGCCCTCTTTGCCTTGAGTGGAAGGCAGTCTAGGGAGTGGAAGACTATAAATTGAAACATCGTTAACATAATAGGGTAGACTGGGTCTCTATAGCTTTGATAAGGTAATCAGTCTCGGAAAAAGACAAATCTGCACCGAAAATCAGCATAGAGGGAGATGGGCTCCGTAAGGCCACCATGCGCAAGATGTCCGCACTCTGGTTCGTTAAATGATTTTAACTTTTATTTACTGCTTAAAATCAAGATTTAATTTCATTTTTTCAAGCTTAATCGGATTGCAGTAAGAATAAGACGGAATACAATATGCTTAACGGTATAAGACGGAATACAGTATGCCTAACAGTATAAACTATAGGGCCTCTACGACACTAATGAGTTATGAGTTTCATGAACAGCGCAGCAACCTTGATATATTTGGGAAGGATATTAAAATCATCAAGAACCTATACTGGCAGCAAACCATTAGCATGCAGACAAAATGAGTTCAGCAAATATACAAAAAATAAAAAGGGGTGTAAGACAAGGTTGTGTCGAGTTATTTGCTTTTTACCCCCCCCCCCACTGCGCTAAGTATCTAATAAAAATTTCCCAAACAGTTTATATTTAGGTGTAAATGTACATGCTTAATTCGAAAATAACAAAGGAAGTTTGATAAAATCTACCGTTTTTGGAGTGATCGACAATAAAACATCGGACTCATTCGCGTCGCGGCAGCCATTACTGGCGTTCTTTGCATATATTTGCTACGGAATAGAAATTCAATTGTCTTGATAATTGCACACGGAATGAGTACGCAGTAATTGAGGCAAGTAAGATCAGTAAAAAGGCCGTTAACAAGGTAATCTTCCGCGATTTGCGAGTATGTCTATTCAGCAGCGAATGTATACAAACAACGCCAGTAATGGCTGCCGTGCCGTAGCAACCAACGACGCGAATGAGTCCGAACTTTTATTATCGGTAACTCCAAAACGGTAAATTTTATCAAAATGTATTTGTTATTATCGAATTAAGCATGTAAATTTGCACCTATATATTAATTCAGAAATTTAATGCTAAGATAGCGATAATAAGAACCTATAAATTTGGAAAGTTTTTATTTGATATTTAGCGCGCGGCTTTAAAAGCAAATTACCCGATGTGTCTTTTCACCGGATTTATTCAACCTATACAACGAGGTAATTCTGAGAGAACGAGAAGTCCTACCAGGATTCATTATTGGCGGCCACAATCTTAACAACTTAAGGTACGCAGATAACACATTCTTGATAGCAGACACAGAAAGAAAACTATTGTATTTCCTACATAAGGTAGTAAAGGAAAGAAAAAAAGATCTAAACACAACTGAAAGAAAACAGAATGCATGGTTGTTAGCAAATGGAATAGTCCAAAGTGCGAATTGCAAATTGGAAGTGTCAAAAATCAAACAAGTGCGGAAATTTAAATATCTGAGAAGTGTTTTAACAGAGGACGGAAAGTGTGGCACTGAAATCCGAAGACGTATTGGGATAACCAAGGAAACATTCCAAAAGCTAAGCAAAGTATTAAGAGACAGAAAAACTTTGCTAGAAACAAGGAAAAGATCACTAAACACCTACATGTTATCTGTCCTCCCGTATGGCAGCGAGTGTTGGACACACTCCTCAACGACCAAGAAGAGCCCACAAGCAACGGAAATATGGTTCTACAGAAGGATGCTGAGAATACCGTTGCCCGAACCTGTGAGCAATGACGAAGTTTTAGAGGAAATAGAAACGAAAAGAATATTATACTTAACATTAATAGGAAAGAGTAGAGGTTTTTAGTACACGTAATGAGGAAGGAATGCTTGGAAAATCTGATTCTCACGGGACAGATTGAAGACAAGAGAGACAGAGGAAAACAACGCATGACATTAGGGAGTTTAAACAAATGGATGGTGGAACAGGGCTTAATAGAAATAACAAATAGATAAAATTTATTTAAGAGCTCCAATGGATAAGAATTTGTGGAGAAGCATGATCGCCTACGCCCCGAGGAGACACAGAGTATAAAGAAGAAAATGGGGATTTTTATCTTACCTTGCCGCATAGTGTTTCCTAACGACGCTGTTTAGATTTTCAAGGGATCCCTACTGTATTATTCTTGGCCTACACAAAAACAAAAAGAAAGAAAAGCAAACTTAGTTACGAAAGTTGACAAAATCCGTGAAGTATTTGTCAGTCAGCTATACTCACACAGTGTCTTGTTAAAGGTATTTCATTGACGGATCGTGTTACTGCCGATTGAGATCTATAACATCTTTTCTTTAAATCATACTGGAGGTGATTTGTAAGTGGCTCAGATGAATGAATAATAGCGTGTGTGAATTTTACAGTTGTGTTGTCATATCCTGTTATGGCAACAGAAAATAACCATGACAGAAATTAAGTACACACCTGTGCAAATTGCTTAAAAACAAAACTAATTCTGTGATGAATAGAGCTTCTACTATAGACGACGTCCCTTCAGAATACAGGCGGTCATGAGAAGGTGTAATCGATTTCTATTTTTTTCCTTGGATTAGGTCATTTGCAGTGGTGTGCAGTAATATGAATCTATTTTCAAGGTGTATGATGAAATTTGTTTAGCCTTGAGAAATATTGCGTCACCCGTGATTACATTAGATTTTTATCACGCCCAGACACTACTGTCTCGACTGTCGATTAGTTGTCCTACGGTCATTGTTTGCGATGGGCGTTACTCCAAGGAAGCTTACAAAATTTGCAACGCTGCACGAACACCGTGGCAAATATTACGAATGAGCAAATCAAAGTACTATAGACTAGCCCGGATACTCTCCTGATTTAAATCCAATCGAGAATCTGTGGTCAATCTGCAAGAAATGAATTCATGGAATGGACACACGAAGTACTAACATGTGCACTGGGTCATGTTTCATTGGAAAAATACGAAAAAAAAAGTAAATAATAACAGAATTATTCGTTTTGTTTCAATTAATTTGCACAAGGATGTAGAAATTCAACATTCTTTTCTTTATTTCTAAGAAAATATTTCCTTTTCTTAGTATTTTGTCTAGCTTTTGGTGGGCATCTTTCGCTAATCCAAGTGCGTTCCGATTTCGGTGTCGTATTTTCCATCCACATTTAAAACAATACAAGAACGAAATCTGTAGTGCTTCTCCCTCGGGATGTATTACTACAAATATTAACATATTATCTCAGTATAACTATGGCCTATCATATCCCAACTATTGAAAGACTAAGCTAAAATTGATAAGCTTATATTTCAATCGAAGTACTAAATTCAGAAATGTTTTTTCTAGCAATTCGTGGCTACCGTACAAAATAAAGATCAATTGTTTACCACATCTCAGTTCCCTTAAACCGGATCCTTTCTTCGTAAACATTATGAATATTGATCCCGTTTCTTTAATTTTCGCTTTTTTTTAAGCCTTGGAGTATGATCATAATTTTATTTCTAGTCCTAACCCTACATTTACGAAGGGGGCAACAGTATTGCCATCCTTGTCGAAGTACTGGAACGTGTGAGATGAAGTAGAGGTCATGGCTCGTCAGGTAAACACGGGAGATATTTTATTTAATTTTAAGAAACTAGCATGGGTCTCTGAGAAAAATAATTTTTTCTTTTTTTAATAATTTCCCCCCAAGCAAGCGATAATTCCACAGGGACGCAGGGGGGTCCAGGAAGTGAAAAGTATGAGAATACTTTTGCGAGGAGGAGGAGAAAAGGAAATGAAGGAACAGAATTAAGATAAAAGTAACTGTAGATGGCAAATGACTTTGCATTTAAATTTTTGAAAATTGTAGGTGAAAAGGAAGCAAGAAACGGAAGGGAATTCAAGGAGCGATAAATGCGAGAAAAGAAACTATTAGAATAATAAAAAACGGTTGCATCTAGCTAGTTCAAGAGTAAAACGGTGAGACCTATCCGCCAATCTAGTAGTTCGCTTGAGTTCATGCAGTCGAACCACCAAGGAAGAAAGCTCATCAGAACAATTGCAATGAAAATATTTGTAGAAGAGACAGAGGGGTAGCCCCATCCCGTCAGTAAGAAAGTGGCCGAAATCGAGACGCCAGGTCAGGATCATGTACATTGCAGATCCGTCTTTGAATTTTGTCAAGAATTTTGAGATATATAATAGGAGCAACAGAATATAAATGGCGGCAGTATTCAGTGCACAGACAAATTGTAGATTTATAAATGTGCAAGTTTTTGTTCACCACTGTAGTAACCAAGGATTGAACTCACAACTATTTGGGTCAAGTCACTGGATCCAACCAACATTTTATCCACTGGGCCAGGTGTCCTAGAGGACATCCGGAAGAGGCATGACACGTGGAATTAGAACACTCTATCCCGGTGGACTAAATAAAGATTTTACTTCGAAATTCCAATCACCTGAAGAAGGCCAGAGCATACAACAGCCGAAAGGTTGTGAATATGACAATAAAGATGAGGACAAAAGCATGAACAATTGAAATAATGTAAATAAATTCCTGGAGTTTAGTATCCGCTATACTGATGACAGACAGAAAAGGTTCTCTATGGTGATTAAATGAAAGCAGTTTTGTTTTGGGGGCGTTAAAATTTGCAAGATATTCCTTGCCCCAGTTAATCATTGATTGGCTTGGTTTGGTTTGGTTTGGTTTGGCTTGGTTTGGTTTGGCTTGTTTTACGGCATATCAACCTCAATGGGTCATTTAATGCCGACAACTTTTTTTTTCCCTAATATATTTTTGTTTTGTCAAAAACCTATTTCTGACAATATTTTTTTTCCTCAAAATCGTATAGCTGATAATATTATTTTTTTCAAAAACTTACAGCTGGCAACATTATTTTTTCAAAAACGCATAGTTGGTAATATTATTTTTTCAAAAACATAAAGCCGGCAACATTATTTTTTCAAAAACGTATTATCAGAGGCCTTTTTTTTGGACATAGTTTATCGTCTTACCCAGGACGAGGATGTGGTTTATCGTCATACCCAGGACAAAACCATTGATTGGAGTTCCGTTATGAGCACATTTGCTGGGTTTATTTTGTCAGGTCTGTCAAACTCGGTAAGTGGTTGTGTCATCCGCATAAATGCCTAGTTGGGAACGGATGACATCGGGAAAGTCGCTGATGAGACAGCGTATATCTAGTGATAGAAACATGGAGATGAGATGATCTAGATGCGTTGCCGTTCGAGATGATCTTCATTACTCGATTTAGAAGTCGTTAACGTTTAGGTTTATCAGTCACCAATTAAATCTTTATAATTTAACATCAACCGCCTTTGACGTTTTCTGGACAATTTGCAGTGTAAGCAAATTCTTATGAAAATTTCTCGAAAAGTTCTATTTAGGTGTGAATTTACATACTAATTTGGAAAATAATAGTAAAAGTTTGCGAAAATTTACTGTTTGGGTGTTATCGACAATAAAATTTCGGACTCATTCGCATCCATTCGCGTCATTAGTGGCGTTGTTTACATAGGTTTGTCTCTGAGTAATAATGCGCGGAGGCTTACTTCGATAACGGCCTTTTTACTGATCTTACTCGTTTCAATTACTACGCAAAACCAAAAGAAGTCTTTATACTCTTCAAAGTGAAGCTTGTATTGAATTTTTTTTTTTTTTTTTTTTGGTAAATTTGTTTAAGTTATGTAGAAAAGCAGTGACAAGTGTTGATTATTTTTTAAAGCGAAGCTTTTTTTATTTTTTATAATAAAGCATTTTATAGTGAAGCTGTAATAATAATTGATTCTTGGTTAAATAGTAATAAAATAAATCTTGTTATTATTATTTTCTTTCTAACATTATTTTGTAAATAATCATGCACTTTTAAATATCGCGCAAAGTTTGCACATTAATCACGACACACGAAACGTATGTAAACAACGTCAGTAATGGCTGCCTTGCTGCAGCCGCGACGTGAATGAGTCCGAATCATTATTGTCGATAATTCCAAAACGGTAGATTTCCGCAAACTTTTACTGTTCTTTTCGAATTAAGCATGAAAATTTGCACCTAAGCGGAACTGTTTGGAGAATTTTCATTAGAATGTGAACAAGGGGCTTACACTGCAAATTAAACCATTTTCTGTACGCGCAAATCTAGAATTGTCAACGGCACAAATATTTTTCTGTGTATTTCTTCAGATCATAATCGGTTATGGCTCACCACAACTTTCTATCTCGTTTTAGCCCTTTTGCTAAGACCCCGCCTCGTTCCGCCATCCATTCGCACGGACTCATCAGGTAAGTGACTCGATGTCTTCCCCTATCTCTCGTCACCAGAATATGCCACATGAGAGTTAATATAAGACGCTAGAAGCGAAAATCGCACCGCATCTCATGACGTCACACATGACTACACGAGAGTGAATTGTAGAATGAAGTAAGGAAAACTGTTGGTATAAACCAATGGCTTCTGTTACCAATTATAGACATTTAAGAATATTTGTAGAGATGCCATAATTGATTTTGTTGAGGTTGGGTTTTAACTGTTTGATGTATAATGCTTCAAGTATTTTTAGTTTTTGTCTATTGTTTTCATGTCGAAGTATAGTTGTGTTTTCGACAAGTATTTTACGGAATTGTGTGTGCGGGCAGGCATGTTGTTTTAAATGCCTAAAAATGTTAGAGTTTTCATTAAAATGTAGTGTCAAGCGTCGTGAAAGCGAGTTTGTGGTGTGACCAACATAAATATTATTTAATTCGTTGGAGATACACTCTCGTGTAGTCATGTGTGACGTCATGAGATGCTGTGCGATTTTCGCTTCTAGCGTTTTATATGCGCGTGTTTATCGTTGCTTAGTGATTAACTATGTAAACAATGACAGACTAACATCACTGTCGTGTCCGTATATTGTTTAATATGTTTGCGATTTACATCTTTGATAATGGCTTAAGTAAGCCGAAAGCTTAGATTATATTAAAAAATATGGATCAATATTGTGAATTTCTTTATTCGTTTAATGATAATGTTATCAAACTTATCAGATGTTACGAACAAATTTTACATAAAATAAATAGACAACACTTGTCTATATTATTTAATGAAACGTGTATAAATGAAAATATAACACCTAAATACACAATATATATATATATATATATATATATATATATATATATATATATATATATATATATATATATATATATATATATATATATATATATATATATATATATATATAGTCAATACATATATATATATATATATATATATATATATATATATATATATATATATATATATATATATATATATATATATATATATATATATATATATATATATAATATATATATATATATATATATATATATATATATATATATATATATATATATATATATATATATATATATATATATATATATATATATATATATATATATATATATATATATATATATATATATATATATATATATATATATATATATATATAATATATATATATATATATATATATATATATATATATATATATATATATATATATATATATATATATA